TCTTTCCTTTGTTCTTTCCTTTGGACTTTCCTTTACCGCGGCCTTTTCCCTTGCCTCTTCCTTTTCCATAGCCTCGACCTCTTCCAAAGGTCCAAGCTCCTGGCCACCAGCTTCCTTTGCCTTTGTCTTTTCCTTTTCCTTTGTATTTGCCTTTGCCTTTACCTTTCAAATCTGTCACTCTGTCAACTTCCATAGCTGTGGCTTCATCTCCTGAGGCTCGTACTGGATCACGTAGTTCCAGCTGCTTGAGGATCTGTTCCTGGGAAAAGCTTTTGGATGTTCTCTCATAGGCTAACAGTGCCTCTCTCACATCTGCATACGTTGACTTGTCAGTCAAGGAAAGTTGGAGGTATTCCTTGAGCTTCTGCGGTGCACATCTGATCAGCGTCGCTGTCTTGAGATCACTTGGGTATGTCTCTTTGCTTGTCTGTTCATGCTGCGTGACCAACTGCTCGAATTGCAAGATGTTCTCCATCATCGACAACTTCTGGTTGAAGTCTGGATACTGTCCCAATGTCTGCGCGAGCGCTAGGGATCGTTGGCGTGTTGCAGGAAGAAATTCTCTGCACATCTGAAACCAAAGTCTGAATCCATCTTTCGCTTGCTGGTTTGCTCGAACCATCTGAAGACATCTTCCTCTCAAGTAGGAACTCAGCACTGCAAAGAATTTGTTGGCTATCGCTGTCTGTTCTGGCGTGTAGCTTGAGCAATCTGGTTCTCTTGCACTGCCTTCTACGTTGGCTAGTAGTTCATTGAACTTTGAATCTCCAAAGCTCAGCCATGATTCAAACTGTAGCTTCCATGTTGCAAACAACAATGGATCTTCACCATTGAAGGTGTCTGGACTCTTGAGGCTCTTTGTTGCTGACTCCCATCCGCGCGTCGAAGAACCTGCTGTTCTCGTCATTGCCTGTGTGGCTTCTGTAGCTGCTTGTGCTGCTGTGTTGGCTGCTTCTGCTAAGCGTGTGATGTGCTGTAGCATCTGTTGCGTTTCCATGCTCTGTGCTGTTCCAACCATCATGAACAGCATCATGACTTGTGTCTGGCGTTTCCTAACCACTTGGCTCAAACGGCCAAGTCTTTTCTCTTTCCTTCTCTCTCTACCTTTCACTCTTTTCTTTAGCCAGTCTCTTCGCTCAGCTTTTGTTTTCGCCTTGTTACGTTGAGGATCTTCCTGAAGTCCATAGGCCATGGTAATCAGGACCGTAAAGATCATCACCATGCCAGGCCACCTGCTCAGGATGGCCATTGAGATCAAGCTCATAGTCTTGAAGACATCGAGGTCGTTTGCCAGCTGCATAGTCTTGTCAAGCTCTTTCACCTGGTTCTCCTTGAAGACGTTGTAGTTCCACTCTTTCACGTCAAAGCTTTCGATGTAGTTCTGGCTTTCTGTGGCATTTGTGATCACCTGCTCATTCTCTTTCTCATAGTGCTCCAAGCACATAGTCTCCTCCAAGGAGATCTCATTCGTGGCCATCATGATGTCCTGCTCGCTCTCATTCTCCAGGACATAGTTTCCTTTCCTCTCAAGTGAGATCGTCACCTCACTTGTGGCCATCTTGTCCTCCTCATTCTTTTTCTCTCTTCTTTGGGGCTCGAACCCAAAGCTTTCCTTTGGGACTCGAACCCAAAGTATGCCACATTTTCTTCTTCTTCTTCGTGAAGTCCAACTTCACCTGAGGACATGCTTTCATTGCCCTGGGACTCGAACCCAAGGTTGCAGGTGTCATGAGCTCCAAGCTCATCTTTTTCTTTCTCTTGCCAGTGCTTCTCCAGCTCGAACATGTCGAAGTGCTCTGCATCATCCACCAGGAAGACCGTGATGTCGATGTCCAGCATGTAGTGGGATCCTCTGCCATTCTTGTCCTCTGTCATCTCAAGGATGTAGTCGCATCTCCATCTCTTGTACTCCAGGAAGTCGAGGATGTAGCCACCAATCTCAACTCCATCGAATTCCAGTCCTGATGCCCTGTCGTGATGTTGGGCTCGATTGAGGTTGCCAGCTCAGGATCATCCTGGACCTTTCCATAGCGCATGCGATCATCGTGATCGCCCAAGTCCACCATGGCGCAAACCTACGAGCCCTCATGATCCCGAAGGATCAATCCTTGGGCTCCGCTACCATGTCAAGCATAGCGGCGAACCTTTTCACCACTCGGCTTGAGTCATGAAAGCCGCTGCGGTATTGGGCTCTCGTGTTCACGAAAACAGGTCACGAGTGTCTGCAGTGAAGTCTGACAAATTTCTATAGTATGTATCTGTGTAGAGTGGCTGAAACCCTCTCTCAATAGGAATGTAGGGGCTGTGTAAAGGTGTGAAGAGAGAAGGTTGGCCATTCATTCTCAATAACACCACACTACAAGCAACCAACTCCTGAGCCTATTTGGACAGTCTCAGCGGTTTTTCCCAAATGCGTAGCGAAGGGTTCTCGTTTAACTTGGGAGTCTGAGGGTAGAGCTGTGTTTGCCCGACGTTGTTTTCGAGTTCGCGACCGTTTGCAACCGTCCACAACCGTCCGTATGATGTCTCTATGGCCCTGCCATTGGGGGAAGCTTTTGCAAGTGACTTTTCATGGATGTGTCACGTGTCAGCTTGCGCCGCTATTACATTGTGATTTGCGCGAAAGTGACATGTTGCACAAGAAACGTGATGCATTTCGCTGCACAGGCGCAGGGTTTTGTGAGATCGGCAGTTTGCTGCGCAGTTCCATTGGGATTAGCGTTTGGAGAGTCGTGTTTTTGGGGTGTTGGATGTGGCCGTGCCATTGGGATTTGCGGTTTCAGGGCGTGGCATCGAAGCTCTGTTTTCGTGACACGTCTCAGCTGAAATGGCGATTTTGGTGGATGGGAGTGTGCTCAGAACGGGTCGAAATCATTCCAAACGTGTGGTGTGGTGCAAATTTTGTTGAAGCTCACATGAGATGATATTGTCACTTTTCGTGGCAGGCACAGTACTTTGTGCGGGTTTTGAGGTGTGGAAGTGCGATTTTCGTGGCAGGCGCAGGGAATCGTGAGGTTGCGAGGTGTGACGGAGGTGACATTTCGTGGCAGGCGCAGTACTTTGTGCGCGTTATACGTGTGGACGCGGAAAGATTCGTGGCAGGCGCAGGGAATCGTGAGGTTGTGCGTTGTGTGGTAGAGGTGAATGTCGCTTTCACATGGGGATTGGCGTGTGAGCGGGTGTTATTTGGAGTGGCTGGAATCGCGAAACTGCTTGGCAGGGCTGCGTGATGTGTGTGCTCCGATGGGTGTTTCCGCTTGACTTTTGGAGGAAGTCTCGTACGAAACGCTCGTTTTGCAGACTTTGACATGTGAGTTTTTGAGGAAGTCTTGTACGAAACGCTCGCTTTGGAGACTTGACGCGTGACTTTTGGAGGAAGTCTCGTACGAAACGCTCGTTTTGGAGACTTGACACGTGACTTTTGGAGGAAGTCTCGTACGAAACGCTGGTCTTGCAGCCTCGAAGCGTGACTTTTGGAGGAAGTCTCGTATGAAACGGTCGCGTGACTGCTTCTAGTGTGTGGGCAGACCGTGTGGCGACACGACGTTCGTGATGTCACAGTGCCATCGGGATTTGCGCAGCCTTGGTGGAAAGTGCGTTTGCGTGGCGCCGTGCCACTGGGGAGCGCAAAACAGGGTGGCGTAAACGCGGCGTGTCACTGGTGAGCGGGGTGATTTGTGGTATCCTGTGATAGTTTGCTTCAAGTGTGCCTAGCAAGACTGTCTAGCGGAATGTCATTTCAAGAGTGTCCAGCAAGAGTGTCTAGCAGAAGAGTGTCCTGCCCAGCAAGAGTGTCCAGCAAGAGCGTCTAGCAAAGAGTGTCCAGCAAGCGTGTCTAGCAGAGTGTCGAGCAAGAGTGTCCAGCAAGAGTGTCTAGCAAAGAGTGCCCAGCAAGAGTGCCAAGCAAGAGTGTCAAGCAAGAGTGTCTAGCAAAAAGTGTCCAGCAAAGAGTGTCAAGAAAGATTGTCTAGCAAAGAGTGTCACGAGAGAATGTCAAGCAAGAGTGTCCAG